ACACTTTAACAGCTTTTACCGCTCATCAGTGATTGATGGCCCTAGAATTATTGCTCTCCCTCCGACGTTCGTGGCGATATGTAACATGTGCGGCATAATGGGCGCAATCGTCTTTTTTGCACGTATGTGCCCCCGACGCATGTTTGCATGGGTGGGGACTTTAAAAAATGTTTTTTTTTTCAATTCTTTATGTGTAACCTAAAAAAAATTCGCATTCTTTCAGAGGAGAGGGGACCGGAGGGAGCTTGTGTAACTAGCTTCTTCTGATCCCCTGTTACACAGGCATGGCTGTCACTGCCGTGTTCGGTCCCGAGATCCGCTGTGCCCGATGCGGCCGGGACCGGACAGGAGATCAAAGGGAGTTCAGTATACGAACAGGACATTTTTAATCATTACCATCAGTAATTGCAGGCAAAATTAAATAGTTAGGAAGTAAAAATTTGCCTCTGTAAGTGCTGCTTTGTGTTTTTCCCCCCACTGTTTTCTTGGTTTAAAAATAGCTCCTGGCTGGCAGGAAATGTGCAGGTGGGTGTGGTTTCACTGCAAGCGCACATTGCATGTGTGGGTCAAGGCTACCAATCGCGCATAGTGAATTAAATAAAAAAAAACAGGCCTCTACTGACTATGAAGGCACTGGAGTGGGATTGTGAAATTACAAGTGTTAATCTTTTGGCCTTGTTGAGGCCCTCTCTACTAGCTAAAATAATTATTTAAAAAGTATTTTTTTGGCCTTGACCATAATAAATACAAAAAGAAAATATGTACAGGAATACATTTCCTTCAATATTATACATGCCTAAGACAATATCTGTCAAAATATAGCTACAGCCCGTTTCATCCTGTCAGTATGTTGCCCCCTACAGGAGATTTGAAAGTGAAAACAAAAAAGGGGCCAGCTCCCTGTAGTGGCTATACCATGACACCTGCTAAATAGCTTAGTTTAGATTTGCAGCTGCTGGTAGTTTTGTGTTAGATCTAGAAATCCTGGATTGTTTTTCCAGTCAAAGATCATAGTGTGCCATCCCAGTTTTCTAAAAATTGGGAACTTGGCTTTGATAGCCTGCAATTGACTCAGTCTTTGCAAAGGCCTACAAGCCAGTGATTGCACTGCTAAGGCTTGTCAAGCCAAGTTTGATTCTATTAATTCACACAACAGATCTCTTCAGGTTTCAAAGGCTATAGACCTGTTACATTAAACAAAAGACACTGCGCTATGACACTGACACTAGAGCAGTGTCTTTTGTTTAATATATTGTGGGAGAAGTTTATATAGCTTCTCTCTATCTCTGCAGCTGTCAATAGGGTGTTTTTGAGGAGTTTGGGGTAGAGCACTATAGCGCGGATAATCATTTGTTTTGCTATAGACCTGTTACGCAGGCTGGCTCTGAAGACCTGCTAGTGTATTAAGTGGTTTTACTTTTAGTGCTTTTTTTGTTTGTACCTAGTAGAGTTTTTTTAAGGGTTGTGGCAGCCTCCTTTTTTATTTCCAGCTAAGGCCCTGTGTGCTATAGATGGTTTCTAGCCATTTTGCCACACCTTCTGCTGACACCTTGTGTATGGGCATTTGCCCTTACTACAGGAACGAGAATAGACAGGGCCTCAGGAGTGCATAGTACAATGATCCCAGGCCTTCTCCTGCTCTCTGCTGCATTTAGGGCAGTCTTCTTTCTGAATTCACCATGCTGCTATGCAATTTTTCTACTGCAAATGATGAAGCACAGCTATCTTCCTCTTTAAGTGGTACCAGCAGCAGTGAAAAATGGATTATAGCTTGATCACTTCAGCACCCCTCCAATGTTCAGTTAGTTGGTCCTCACCCATGTGTGAATTCATAATCTGCACTTTTGCTCAGAGGATGACTGGTGCTGTCCTCCTGTAAGGCCTCCTCTTGGGCTGTGGTCCTTTGGTTCTTCAAAAGCCTCCATTTGAAAACATAATTGAATTAGCTTTGTTGACTTTGTATCAGAAAGTGGCCTTTCTTATAGCTTTTACATTCGATAGGAGGGTTTTGGTGCTGGCAATCTGCAAGACTTCTTTTCTTGTTTGTTTTTAAGACCTGGGCCAATCTTTTTACCAAAGGTCAGGTCCACTTTCCAAATTTTTAAGGACTTCTTCCTTCTTTCTGTCCAGCTTTGGTTCTTCTAAAAGAAATTTACCTTGACTCCCTATATTTAGTTAGAGATCTCAGGGTCTACCTAAAATAAAAAGAAATTCTGAAACCCTACCAATCATCCAAAATGGTTCCCTTGAGGTCACCTCAGTCTCTAGAGCAGGGATGTCCAAAACTCCGGCCCTCCAGCTGTGGTGAAACTACAAATCCCATGAAGCATCTCTCTCCGGGAGTCATGTCTGTGAGAATCTTGCAAATCCTCATGGGATTTGTAGTTCCACCACAGCTGGAGGGCCGCAGTTTGGACATCCCTGCTCTAGAGGGACCATCTTCCAATGGATCCCCCAGAATATTTCTTAATTCTATTCCCTATAGAATAGGGATTTGCCTTTCCCTATCACTGCTCAATCTACCAGAGCAGTAAGTGCTTCCTAGGCCTTCTGTTATGAAACTTGAGTCTCCCAGGTCAGTAAAGCTTAAACTTGGTCTTCTGTCCACACCTTAACCTAATTTGTTAGGGTGGATGCAATTGCTTTGGCTATAAGGTCCTGCCGGCAGCTGTGTAATTGCCCATTTTTCGCTAGACTGCAAGACTTTGGTTGTTTGAGTATAAATTCAGCCCTGCGTGTACATTTGCATCAGATGAACTAACAAGGGCAGGAAGAAACATGCTTTAAAGGCAAAGTCCTATCCAAATAGAGAAAATATACAACATATACATACATAGCACAGTGATCCGTTTATAAAACTATACATTATTTTGATAAGACTGGATTACTCACCAGCTCTTTTAAAGCATCTAGATGTGTGATTTTACAAAATACCTCCTTTGCTGCTCTCCTCATAATTATAATTTTGTTTTCCTATAACATATTTTTGCTTTAGGCCTGCAGTAAAACATAAGCATAACGTTAACTGGAGGTTTACATGATTGGATCTGTTTAGGTTTGTCTTTTGAGATACAAAATCACTGAATCACAAAGTAAGCAAATCATTTAGTTATATCTTAGAACATATATTGCAGCCAAACAAACAACAAAATCTATTAAATTACTATAGAATTCACACATCTACCTGTTCTGGATTACCACATTTCATTCAGATTGGGCCTGGCTGCTGACAATATCGCACTTTCGTCCAGTAATCAGGTGCCCTGGGACCACCACACAGCCAGGCATCTAACTTATGGTTGAGTCACATGATATATTGTCGATGTCATCTTCCAGGAACCCTGTGTTCACTCCTTGTGATTCCTTTAATGTACCTGGATCTCCTAGATTAACCCCTTCGTGACGGGAGACGTACGCTGTACGTTCTGCCACGAAGTGCCTATATGACTGACCACGTACACTGTATGTGACGAGTTACTTAAGGCTCTGTAATGCCTCCCGGTAACTGCTGATTCTCAGCGGTTATCATTCATTAATGAATGCTTCAGTATTGAGGCATTCATTAATTAAATAGTTAAGCTTTTGTAAAAGCTTCTTTCTTTCATTAATTAAAGAATGAAGCTGTTACATACAAATACGGGACCGATAAATAGTGGTCCCGTATTTGACAGCTGAAGATAGCAGAGTGAGTCACCTCTCTGCTATTTGTTTTGACAGCTTGATAGACTGGCCCAAAGTTTATGATACATTTCAGGCACAGAAATGTTACAATGTATCTCTGTGCCTGAAATGTATCACTTCTGATCGTCTGAGCACGATCAAAAACCTTTAGTGAGATCTGATTCTGACATGCTGTCAGCATCAGTCTCTAAGGTTATTATTAGCTGTTCCTAAGTTTGGAGCAGCCTACTACTAACCAAAAATTTGAAAAGTTAATTTATCAAGCAGGCATTTTTTTATACTATAATTATTATAAAACATTTCTAAAAAAATAATAATCAAAACTTGTGAAAAAAAATGTTCTTTAAGTTTTTTCATTTTTTTAAATATTTTATTCAAACTAAGTGAGGCGTTAGGTACACATTTTGGATATAATTATATACCCATCTGTCCTCTAAAAAACAATATATAATATGTGTGGGTGTGTACATTTAGTAAGAAAGTATATTACAGCCGTGAAAGAATCACACAGCAAAAATGTAAAAAGTGTGCCAGTCATTTATGAACAGAAACGGAAAACAAGCTCAGTCATGAAGGGGTCAATAATTTGCCTTCTATGTATTGTTTTATGCTTCCTCACTGTTCTCACACACACTTACTTTTCCAACTGGTCCCACCTCACAATCGACTTGAAGTTACCATTTTTATATTTTTCCTATCCAGCTTGGGGGCTGAAGGCTTGGGTGGAACCAACAGTACAAGCCAGGACTCCCTTCACAAAGCTGCCAAAAAAAAGAGCATAAAATCCTCCATTGGGCGCTTGTTCGGCAAGAAAGAGAAGGGACGCATGGGACAAATGGGACGAGACTCTTCTTCTCTAGGTAAATGACAGTACAAATTTGGTTTCACTTATGAAAAGTTTTACTTTAAATTGTCTATTCATCCCCCAAAAATATGTCAGTTTTAGGAAGATGCTGCTGGGCTAAAATTGCTCTTATTTAGCATTTTACCTACACTATGTAATGTTCTCATTCATCAGCTAATACCAACAAAATTGGGTCACAGATAGCTTACTGGTTAAGATAAATACTAAACAATCTGCCATTTTAAGAAATGCAAATATTTATGTAATGGATTTGAATAATTTCCTTGTTTTCAGTGCAGTTGTACCCACCTCACAGTCTGTTCTTAACACTCCACTGTTCCCTATTCCCACAGTTTAGACTCAGCTTTAAAACTGAAGGCTTTAGACTGTGACAAGTAACACCCATCACTTTATCCTCTATGTGCATAGCACTTTCACATCAGGTGGTCGCAGACAAACAGTTTTACTCATATCTATAAATAGACTGTTATTTTCATCAGATACCAGCAGCTTAGGTGACGTTTGCATTTGACCTTCAAGTTATTTGTGATTTCTTAGGAAGACATGTTGCCCTGTGTTTGGAGCTATGCCATTCAGGTTACTTGATTGGCACAATTTAGGTCAGTAAACTAAAAATGCATCATCATGGACATTTGCACACTAAAAACAAGCCCCAAAGGACCACCTAAAAAAAAAGCCACTGTAGGCAAACATATGCACTGTCTTCTAGCTTCTAATTAGGCAGTGTGTGGGGTCAGACAGGTCATCTTTGTCCAGAAGAGTCAAAGTAATTAAAGGTAAATTAGAAGGTAAATATATTTCTAATACTTTTTAAATATTTAGATCCTTGAAAAAGCCCAGTTGTGACTGGTTTTGCTTAAAGTTAGGTTTTTAGTACCCCTTTTTCTTACTGTTGCTTTAAAAAGGTGCTGATTATTGTTTTGGACTCACTTTTGACTTGCCATAGCCATGTGCAGCCCAATTCCATTTTGATTTGTCAGTCAATAAGGCTGTAAAGGACTTCCCCAGGGGGAGACACTGTTTATTGGAACGTCATGTCACCAAAACTAGCGCTTTCAGGGGCCACTCAGGGTCCCCTTCATCAGGCTCAGCAATGACCTTTTTGTTTGAGATACATTTTAACACATGCCTCTGACCACTGGTGGAGATGGGTATTTCACACCGAGATTCTTTCAAAATATCCGTACAATGAAATGGACTCTTCTGTTTTCAACTTGTGGAAAAAAAGATGGAAGTACTTCATTGCACATATACCACCTTTTCATTCCCCAAGTCTTGGGCTTTATGAGTTTGAGAACAAAAAGATGCCTTTTTTTTTTTCTTCGTGAGGCATCTGCCTATCAATTACTAACTTTAAAATTACCCATGTTCTCCAGTTACTTAATCTGTTGATATGTATGGAAGCAATATATGGATATGTGGATGTGTACGTTTTATCACAAATGCCTCTATCGGAGGTAGTTGCTGCACATTGTCTTCCAAGTTCATTGTCTTGTGCTATATTACAGCTGGAACTCCCTCGGATGAGACGTCACCGGCTGATCCCATGGGCCTGTCTAAATTAGCCGGGCCTGTAGACAAAGACCGCAGAAACAAGAAAAAGTAAGTTACATAATTGAATTGATGTAAACACATTGTTAAACCCGGGGCAGTTTCAACATAATCTAAGACCTAAAGCAAATAACTGATGAAGCGAAATTAAGCACATACAGCTGTGAAATACGTTACAGTTTTGGGCTCACAGTAGATTACGCAACAAATATATGTTTAAAGAGAAGCAGTATAAGATATATGAGTATAATGGATGTTGGTACCATAAGGAGGTAGTTTGGTTTTAGTGTGCTATTGTATCATGCTGATGACATTTTGAATGTAACCAAGTTTCAAAATCATGTTGATTTTAATGATTAAAATGTATACAAGATTACGTGTGTCTGATGGACATGTTGTTCAGTTTGGACACCTTTAAAAGCCCCATGTTTCTTTTTTGTTCTTTTTTTTTTTTCTCTCAAAAAGTTTTTCTTTTTCTTTTTTGTCTTGCATACAGAGAAACCAAAGTATTTGTGCATACATCCAATGTCAAGTACCAAATACAGTACAATGAACATACAATACAAAGTAAAGTTATGAACTTGTAGATAGCCAGGGGAAGTCCCAAGAAACAGTAGGGTCCTAGGTTACAGAGTATTATCCCAGTAACTTGGGCTTCAAGTCAAGGTTACAGAGAGGGGGCCCAGGTAACCTGGTTCCCAGGGGGGGAGGGGGAGACAACATACGAAGGGGGAGAAAGACAAGGTCAGCGAGAAGAGAAGTGGGTAAAGCGAGAAAGGGAGGGTAGAAAGGGGGGGAGTAGAGTAGTAAGGCAGCCTTAGAAGTAGGAGAGTGGAGATAGCTGGTCAACAACTCTGGCTTCGGGTCCTCATAATATCAAGGAATCCACGTTAAAGGAGGGAGGAAGGTACGACTCAATCCATGGTTCCCACAGCTTCCTGAACGGCACCAGTGTGTACCTTTGGATAGCAATGAGCTTCTCAAAAAACATCACACGTGTTACCCTGCGTTTGACTTCAGCAAAGGGAAGGTCAGGGGACTTCCAAGCCCGCGCAATGACTCTCTTGGCCTCTGTGAGGATAAAGGTGAGCAATCGGTGTTGATGCAACGTGCACACCAATGGCTTTTTAAGTAGTAGCGCTTCTACCGGGTCTTTACAAAAGGTCTTGCCGGTAACAGTATATAAGAGTTGGTAGACCCTATGCCAGAATCTCTTTACCTTGGGGCAAGACCAATATATGTGAAGGACCGAACCCTCCACCCGGCAACCCCTAAAACAGTTTGGAGATTGTGATGGTATAGCCCTGGAGATCCGAAGTGGGACCAAGTACCACCTCAGGAGCAATTTGTAATTGGCTTCTATGGCTTGTACATTGGCGGAGCTTCGGGAGGTAGTCTCCCATATCTGGGTCCAGTTGTCAGAAGTAATGGAGCATCCCAGGTCTTGTTCCCACCTGGAAGTGTAGGGAGGAGTGGAGGTGTGTATTTTATCCAGCAGTAGACTGTATAGGGTTGATATTGTCCCCGAGCCACATATCCCGTAGTGTAACAGTCTCTCAAAGGGGGTGAGTGGGGGGACAGGGCGTGTACCTCCTAATTGGGTCAGCAGGAAGTGTTTTATCTGCAAGAATTGGAAGATGTGTTTTGAGGTTAAATTGTGTTCAGTTTGGAGCGTTGAGAATGTTACAATGCCCGTATCGGAACAAAAATCTTGAATCAAGCTCAAGGTGTTGGAAAGCCATGGTTTAAAGGCGGCGGGATTGGTGTATCCTGGTGGGAACAATGGATTGCCATGGATGGACATCAGGGGAGAGTGGGGAGACATCCAACCCATAGGGCCTCAAAGGCCATCCCAGATTTTTAGAGTATGTTGAAGAACAGGGTTGACGAGGTTACCTCGCTTTGCAAACGGAAGCCAGGGGAGGTTGAGAAGAGATGTCGGGGAGCACGAGTAGGCTTCCAAGGAGACCCAAAGAGGCATTTCTTGTTTCCCAAACCATTTGACCAATGGGGCTAACTGGGCTGCCTGATAGTATTTTTGGAAAAAGGGAAGTCCCAAACCTCCCTCCCGTTTGTTACAGTAGAGAACTAAATGTGACACTCTCGGGAAAGAACCTTTCCAAATAAATCGCATGATGCGGCGTTGGAATAGCCGAAGTCGAAAGGCGGGGACCGAGACTGGGAGGACCCTCGCATGATAAAGAAATTTAGGGAGAAGTGTCATTTGTATGGCTGTCACTTCTCCCAAGAGGAGAGTAGAGATTCCATGTGGGAAAATAATTTCGGGTAATTCGCTTTGTATAGTTGTTCATAGGAGGGGGCGAGGTGGATCCCCAAATGTGGCAGCGCAGTTGCAACCCACGTGTAGGGGAATGATTGTTGTATCTGGGAGCATAGAGAAGGGGGAAGGGATACATTAAGAGCTTTAGATTTTTGCAAATTGACAAAAAGGCCAGAAAGGGTGCCAAATTGGTGTAATAGAGGTTGGAGGTTAGGGAGGGAGGTTAACGGGTCAGTGAGGATTAGAAGTGCATCATCCGCAAACAGACTGAGTTTATGGTGGTATCCTGCCACCTCTATACCCCTGATGTCCACATGTTTTCGTATGGCCTGGGCCAGGGGTTCTATGGCTAGTGCGAACAAAAGAGGGGAAAGAGGGCAGCCTTGTCTGGTCCCCCTAGTTATGTCAAATCTTTGAGAGTGGAAGCCCTGGTATTGGACATACGCCGTAGGCTCCGAGTATAGGGAGTCAATATTCTGCATAAATGAGGGGCCAAACCCCCATCTAGTCAGGGTATAACGCAGGTAGTCCCACCCAACCGAGTCGAAGGCCTTACGTATATCGAGTGCTAGTAGCATGGTCGGGATCTTCCTCTGATGGGAGATATGTAGTAAATTAGATATTCTTCGAACACTGTCTCCTGCCTGTCTTCCCAGCATAAACCCCACTTGGTCTTTAGAAATTAGTTTCAGGAGAGGGGATTGAAGTCTCATTGTCAGAATTTTAGTGAGCAGTTTGAGGTCGACATTGATCAAGGAGATCGGGCGATAGTTAGACCAAGATGTGTGATCGGTCTCGGGCTTTGGAATCATACAAACTGAGGACATCAGTGAATCCCCTCCCAGCCTCCCTCCCCCTCTCAAAGCGTTAAAGTATGTAGTGATGTGTGGCACAAGGGTGTCCGCAAATTTTTTATAGTATATGGCACCAAAGCCATCAGGGCCAGGCCTCTTCCCTGCACTAAGCAGCTTAATAGCAGTTAAAACTTCCTCCGATGTGATGGGGGCGTCGATCATGTGTCGGTCTTCGTCAGATAGGGAGGGTAGGTCCAGGGAGGAGAAAAATTCTTCCATACTGGAGACCTCTGGCGAACCGGTAGATCGATATAGTTCGCTCAGGTGTGTCTGAAATGTGTTTAGAATTTTAACCGGGTGGGCCGTCACCTGTCCTCCCTGGAGTTTCAATCTAATGGGGTCACGTTGGAGATCAGATTCAAGTTGGTCAATACGGGACATCCTTATCTTTTTTGCTTGGGAGGCTAGTTGAATCAGCCTACCCCTAATAGTGGGTTTATGCGCCTCCCAGACCGTGATCGGGGAAGGAACTGAATTGAGATTCAAGGCAAAATAGTCAGTCAGAGAGGTTTGAGCCGAGGCCAAAATCTCTGGATTTGCAAGTATGGAGTCCCTTAATGACCAAGTGAAGCCCATCTTGCGGGCAATGTCTATGCGAATATTAATAAAAACCAGATCATGATCCGACCATGGAACCGGACAGATAGCGGCTGAGGACACTTGAGGTAAGGATGCAGCGCGTAACAAGATATGGTCAATCCGAGAAAAGACATTGTGTGGGTTAGAGTAAAAAGTAAATTGCTCCTTAAGTGGGTGGAGTTCTCTCCAGGAGTCCACCAAATGATATTGCGTCAATAGGGCTCTAAAATTCCTAGCCACAGAGACATCCGAGGGTGGGGTTGCCGGGTGGTTGGGGTCATGACGGATCAATATGGGGATGCAACGCAAGGTTAGAATCGCCATATAGCACCAGAGACCCCCTAGCATGGCAGTCAACAACTCGGAGCAGGTGTGAGAAAAATCCCAATTGATCAGCATTAGGAGCATTGTAGGAAACCACAGTAACCGGGGAATCATGGATTGAGCCCACCAAAATCAAATACTTGCCCTCTGGATCCCTGATTACCTTCTGGCTGACGAAGGGAGCAGACCGACTGAAGGCTATCAGCACTCCTCGATGTTTCGTAGGTGCGGAAGCTAGGAAAAACAGAGGATAATTAGAATGTAGAAATGACGGATTATAGGATTGGGGGAAGTGGGTTTCCTGGAGGCAAACAACGTCAGCATTAAGTTGTTTGAAGTGTCTAAAGGCTTTGATTCTTTTGTTAGGTTGATTGAACCCCTTAACATTGATGGAAGCTATTTTCAGGGCCATGTGGATAGTTGTCCAAGATTAAGACTTGTAAAAGGGGAGGGAAGTGGGGGGAAGGAGGGAAGGAAGGATGAAATTAGCGTGTTCGAGTAAAGGGGAGGGAGGGGTAGGGTAGGGCGAGGGAACCAGGAAGGGAAGACTCCCAAAGGGCCAAGAACAGTCCCTGAACCAACAAGGTGGGATGTCGTTCACTAGGCTAGGATCCAGCCAAACGCCAAATCCAAGATAGTGAGAGGTGGGGTGCATGGGGTGTACCAGAACGGGAGACAGACCTGCTAATAAGAAAATAAAAGCAAAAAAAAAAAACAACACAGAACCCAGATGTATATGTCCATTAGACCGAGGGGTCATTAAGGTAACATAACAGAATTAAGTGCAGCATATGCAGGTAAATAACAGGAGAATACAAAATACAAGAAAATCTTTGCAGGGCGAGCCTGAAACTTCAGCCTGATCTGATGTCAGATCACCCCCCCGGAGACCAAAAAACCTAGGGGGTAAGCTAGCACCAGAGGAGTCCCACAGCAAAATAAAATGAGTAACAGAACAACAGCTTAACATGGAACCAATAAAACCGCAAGGTGGGACCAAGGCTCCCTGCAGA